AAAAACTTTTTTCTCAGAAATCTTTCAAACATACATGGATCGACTCAGGTTTTAACGCTGATTCCGAATATGATATTGGTTTTCATTTAAACTTTTGTTTTGTAACGAAAAAGTGGCTAAACAGGGGGCAAAAACGCATAAAAATGTGCTCCGAGAGCAATGTGGCTCGGCACGTCTCAACTCGTCAGTACTTTTTGAGTTTGGAAAATATATATTTTTTTAACTTTCAAAAAGGGCTATCGAATGGTAAAAATCAGAACTCGATAGCTATTATTATTGTTGAATTATTATCAAAACACCGTTGCATATATATATCATATAGCCATGAAGTGGACCCATGGTCATTAACACACTTGGTACAAGTAAGGAATCAATTTAAAATAACCTATCTAACCCAGTTTTTCAAGCTGAACACGAATCTGAAGTCCATTTTCGTGATTTCTGTAGAAATTGTATGTCTTTGTGAGGTAGGATCAATGGTGACTAGGTAGGGTAGAGGACAGTGTGGTCCATGCTAACTTGGCCCCCGAGTTTTTTCGTCTTGACAATTTAATGTCAAAAGATGTATCTTAAGAAGATCTATGTCTGGTAAAAAAAGAAGTTTAGGACCGCTTGGACCATTCAAGAAAAGCCCAAAATACTGCTATTCCAGAATGTAGGATTTCTTGAGATTTCGAAGATTTTTGATCTATAGCGTTTCTTTTATCGTAGATATGAATCATCGAAATTAGATAAATTTGTAGCCTATACTATTCCCTATCTAATGAGAGGTGCCCGATCTCAAATGGTCAAACCATTCATGAGAAAATGTAAAAATACTGAGCACACCCATTTTTAGCGACTTTTTAGGGTCAAAATAGACCCCTTCAACTTGTTTTAGCTCGCATTTTTCATAGGTAAAACCAAATGAGCTAATATTTTGGATTTAACTATAGTTTACCTAGGCCTATCATTTAAGAAAATAAAATAAAAAAAAAAAATTTTTTCCCCGGCGACCTATATGGAGAGTAGGGTGGTCCTCTCGCGGACCCTCTCTTAAGACCCGAAGTGATTCAATAAGAACCGACTTCACCATCGTGTTCAGCACATCAAATAACCTTTGTGCACAGTTCTTTGGTAATCCCAAATATTTCTAATATGCCGGATCAGGACATACGTTTCTATTATTAGCCGTATAGATCTTGTAAGCAAATTCAAAGGAACGAAGACGTTAGAAGAATGGTTATCTCAATGTTTCTAGAAGGTTTAAAAGTTGTGAAATAGGTTATTTGATGTGCTAAACACGATGGTGGGGTCGATTCTTATTGAGTCGCTTCGGGTCTTAAAAAGATTTTCCACAAAACCCTCAAAAACTTTGATGCACCATTTTTTTCTGCTTTTTGAATTCACCATCGGATAGAGCAGCCAAAATTAGGTATTCACTCCAAATTTCACATTGGTTCTAATCTACTATCAAAAGATTTCGAAACCTCAACCTCTATGGGACTTAATGAAAAAGCAGGTTTTTGACCAGTAATCCCAGATTTTGTAGCCGATGATGCCCTGGAGGAGCTTTCATAGTTCATATTCGACAAGATCACGTTGTTTTAGCTATTATGAATAGGCATGCAGAGAACCCGAACTCGAGTTCGGAGTTCGGACC